CCTTCCCATTTATTCATTTCAGATCTCCATAGATGTGGTTGGACTGGTTGATGAATGGGCAGCCCGTTTCTTTGAAGAGCTGGATTATGTTAAGGAAGGTGAAAATGGAATGATTTTTTCTGAAATGATGAGGAAGGACCTTCCGCAGGTGACTCTTCTAATCCTTGTGTTATATCCCAAGTTCTTTTTTTTTTTGTCCCGAGGCTACCAAATGTTATTTTAAAACTATGATTGTCAAAGTATATTTTAGCAAGAACTAGATGCTACTCTGTCCTGGGTAAACAATATATTTGCTTGAACAATTGGCACTGTTTTAAGTACAGTAATATCTTATTCTAAAGCTGTACTTACAGAACTGAATGCTGCAATTTTCTAAAATAAAATAAAATAAAATAAAAACTGCATGATGCAGCTAATCTGATGAAAGACTTGTAGCTAAGCTATATTTACATAACTGAACGAATTGGACTTGATTGCTCTTGCTAGCCTTTAATTTTATTTATTCTGCAAAGACTTCTAAGACTTACTAGAGCTCTCTACTTTGTATGTTGAGAAGCTTGATAAGAACAAAGTTTGGTTCCCACAGAAAAGAATCAAGAAGAATGAAAATGTAATCTTTACTGATTAACTGAACGAATCACAAACAATCCTACAAATACTATGACACACCCTTGCTCAGCCTCAGCCAAGACTTCCCAAAATCACTCAGACTATTCCCCCCCTCTCTCAGTTCCCGAACACCCCTTTTATATAACCTGCCTTCTCTAACTAATTCCCTCCCCAACTAAAGTCTCAGTAACTAACTAATAACATCCTTTCTAACAAACTACTAACTTCTCTAACCAATTAACAAGTTCCTATCAAAGCTGTGCGAACCAAGAACTACAACGCGCAAAGGATTTAATTATTTAATTATTTGATTTGTTTTCTTTTTCCTTCCCCTGCGGCCCCATGGATGATACTGAATGGATGGAAATTGGAAGGAAAGGAATGAATATTTCACCAGGATAAGATTTCACCACCTTGAGATATAGAAAATTTAAGAATTCACCACTCAATGGACATCCACCAAAGAGATAAGAAATTCAAGAATAGAGTTGAATAACTTTAGTTTTCATTTCTCAACCACCCCTCAAGTATGGCCAAATACAACCATTTATAGCCTTAGAAAGACCTTTAACAAGCTAAAAACATTTTTCTAATGGCTGCGATAATCAGCCACTAATTACAAGCTTAAAAAAAATTGAAAACATAACTCCCTTTTCAGCCATTTATCTCACAGATAAAAAGCTGAAGTTACAAACCACACAAATTCCAACTAATAAACATAGCTAAAACCCCCTAATTAAAGCACACCAAATAACTTACCAATTATTACACAACCTTCAGCCAGCCTTAAACACAATTAAAACACAAAATTAACACCACCAAACAGCCCAAAAAAGGTCCACCTTTAGATCTGATCAGCCACCAAGTAATGCATCATTTTAGGTCCGAACTTCCACTAAATAGCTTGAAGAGATAATTAGGTCCGAACCTGAACTTTCCCCTTCGTCTGAATGTGCAGACCTTGACTCGCCTTGAACTTCATCATTCTCCTCTGGTTGGACAAGACTCTGCCTCAAGTCAGACAATTCATCGTCATCCAAATAAGGAGACAAGTCTGTCACATTAAAAGTAGCTGAAACACTATAATCTCCCGGAAGCTTAATCTTGTAAGCATTCTCACCAATACGTAGCACCACCTTGAATGGACCATCAGCTCTAGGTTGTAGTTTGGGAAACTTCCGATTAGGAAAGTGTTTCTTCCTCAAGTGAATCCACACCTTATCTCATTCTTTGAATGCAGCAGGCTTCCTATGCTCTAGGTTGAAGTATGCTTGTGTCTTGTTTTTTTGCGTTTGTTCAAGGATCTTGTCTCGAACTTGTTGATGAAGCTTCTTTATTTGTTTTGCCCTCTCTTCAACATTGCCTCGAAAGTTTTTTTCAATAACCAATGGAGTCAAATCTAAAGGGTTGATAGCATTCTTTCCGTAGACGACTTCAAATGGGGCTGCGACCCATAGTCTGACTTGTTGACCGATTATAAGCGAATTCGGCATGTGCTAACATTAGATCCCATTCACGAATACTTTTCTTCACTAAACTCTGCAACAACGCTCCTAAGCTTCGATTAACAACTTCAGTTTGTCCATCTGTTTGTAGATGAAAGGAAGTACTGAAATGCAACTTTGTTCCTAACTTTCCCCACAACGTCTTCCAAAAGTGACTTAGGAACTTTGGAAATACAAATCAGCCATATGTGTTGCATCCGACGTCTTTGTGCTAGGAACTAAATGAGCCATTTTAGAAAATCGATTCACAATCACAAAAATTGAATCTTTACCTTGTTGAGTGCGAGGCAATCCCAACATGAAATCCATGCTTACATCCTCCCATAAAGAAGAAGGAATTGGAAGTGGAGTGTATAAACCAGCATTGCTTCCATGCATCTTGGCTTTTTGGCAGGTTATGCAACGACTAACAATATGGCTCACGTCCCGAATCATCTTTGGCCAAAAGAAATGCTCTTGCACAAGGAGCTTCGTTTTGTCTCGTCCAAAATGTCCAGCAAGTCCACAACTATGTGCTTCACGAATGATGGCCTCCCGGAGTGAACTTTGCGGCACACAAAGCTGGTTCCCCTTGTAAAGAATACCGTCTTGCAGAAAGTAAGGCTTCATTGGTCCACTTGAACAAGCTTCCCAAATGGAACTAAAGTCCAGCTCTTCTTTGTAAAAAAACTTCACGTTTTCAAAGCTCACCACCATGGCTTGCATATGAGTCGCAAGAGCTCGTCATCTACTTACTGCATCTGCCACCTGATTCACTTTTTCAGATTTATGCTTTATTACAAAGTGAAAAGATTGAAGGAATTCCACCCATTTTGCGTGGCGTGAATTAAGCTTGTGCTGGCTGTTTAGATACTTGAGAGCTTCATGATCGGAAAACAACACACTCTTTTTGGTATTAGGTAATGGCTCCAATAGTTGAGAGTTCAAACAATGGCATAGAACTCTTGTCATATGTTGAATATTTGCGACGCACGTCATTTAGTTTTTCGCTGAAAAACGTAATTGGCCTCCTTTCTTGGCTTAAAACTACACCAATTCCGACGTTAGAAGCATCACATTCAACTTCAAAAACAACATCAAAGTTAGGAAGTGCTAAAACATGAGCTTCGGTCATTTTAGTTTTAATTAAATCGAAAGTAGCTTGGGCAGCTTTGTTCCACTTAAATATTCCTCCTTTTAAGCACTTTGTTATGGGAGCGATAAGAGTGCTGAAGTTCTTGATAAATCTTCGATAGAATGACACCATGCCATGAAAACTCCTAATGTCAGAAATGGATTGAGGAATAGGCCAATTCTTGATAGCATCCGTCTTAGTTGGATCGGCATTGATTCCTTCATTTGAAACAACATAACCTAAGAAAACCACCTTGTTAGTTAAAATTGGCACTTCTTAAGATTGGCATAAAGGCATTCTCTTCTCAAGACTTCAAACACCATTCGTAAGTGCTCCAAATGCACTTCAAAGGACCTACTATACACCAAGATGTCATCAAAATAAACTACCACAAATTCGCCCATGAAGGGTTTAAAAACGTGTGTCATCAATCTCATGAATGTGCTAGGAGCATTAGAAAGACCAAAAGGCATGACCAGCCACTCTTACAACCCTTTACCGGTTTTGAAAGCTGTCTTCCACTCGTCCCCTGATCGCATTCGGATTTGGTGATAGCCACTACGAAGATCAATTTTTAAGAAGACAACAACCCTATGTAGTTGATCCAAAAGGTCGTCAAGTCTAAGAATTGAAAACCGGTACTTGATTGTAATTTTGTTAATTGCACGACTATCTACACACATACGCCATGAGCCATCTTTTTTTGAAACTAAGAGAGCTGGTATAGCACACGGACTCATGCTTTCCCGGATTATGCCCTTCACCATCAATTCCTCCACTTGTTGCAATTCAGCTTGTTGAATTGGATTCAAACAATAGGCTGCCTTGTTTGGTAGTGATGCCCCTGGTACAAGGTCAATACAATATTGTATATTCCTCATTGGAGGTAACCTATCAGGAATCTCCTTGGGCACAATATCAGAAAATTCCTCCACCAAAGGACGGATTAGTTAAGGAATTTTTGAGGAAACCGAATGGTTTGTTTCCAAAACTAATAAGATCGCAGGAGTTTTACCTTTGGAAATAGACTCTTAAGGTTTGAGATCCTATAAGGAACAAGTTAGATTCCTTTTTTGTTTCAATGGCATTCAGTTTTGTTGGCGCCAAAGTGATCCGGATGCCATCTTTAACAAATGAGTGTGTGTTGTTGAAACCATCATGCATCACGCGACGGTCGAATTGTCAGGGTCTTCCAAGCAGCAAATGACATGCGTCCATTGGCACTGCATCGCACCAAATCTCGTCCTTGTAGGTTTTCCCAATGGAATATGAAACTAAGCACCGCTTCGTTACCTTGAACTCGCTGTCCTCTTAAAACCATATGATTTTGTACGGTTGACGATGAGGTTCAGTATCCAGATTAAGCTTTTTCACCATCTCTTCGGCTACTAAGTTGGTGCAACTCCCACCGCCAACAATTACATTGCACACTCGGCCTTGAGAAGTACAAACAACAACAACAAGCCTAATCCCAACTTAATTAGGGTTGGTTATATGGATTTCACTTTTCTACGCAGCTCTGTTCAAAATTAAACTTTTCTGAAGGTCTAGATCTAGAATGTCTTTTCTAACTACTTCAATACACGTAATTCTTAGTCTACCCCTCCCTCTCCTAGTATTAGGTATAAGAATGTTTTTCCAAACACGAATTGGTGCTTCTAGCGGTCTACGTTGGACATGCCCGTATCACCTCAAGCGGCCTTCGCGCACATTATTTTCTATTGGTGCTACACCTACTTTACTACAAATAATTTCATTTCTTATGTGATCCATTCTCGTATGGCCACTCATCCATCTTAACATACGCATTTCTGCCACTCATCTTAGATATATGTTGTCTCTTAATGGCCCAACATTCACTACCATATAACATAGCTGGGCGGATTACAGTTAGGGGTGACAATTCGTGTCACGTGTTGT